TAAAAATTACAGCAACCCAGGACTCAAAACTCTGAATTCAGGGAAAAACCAAAACAATGACCCAGGTTGCAACCTCCAGAGTTGCTGAATTTTCAAGCCAGTCTTAACATCAACTTTTATGCTAGTGTGGCAATAACACAAAGCAATCATCACACAAATGTCAACTTTCATAGGGCTTGACTTCGAACTTCACTTCTCCATTCCAAATCTTTTTCTATTCTTGCATGATCATTTTTTAGAGCCAACATATCTCGTTTTAATTCTTTTATATCCGCATCCAACGTAGTGGAAATTGGAGTTGGAATTGGGATCGGAGCTAGAGATACATATTTTCGTAGATAAATAAATACTACGGCGATAATTGCATAGAATATTGTATTTTCGGGGATAACAGAATAAATCATCTCCATTGTTAAGACGCTCCGATTATATAGTTCGTAGATGGCGATTATAGCAATGAAAATCGCAAATAAAAAAATATCGGAAATGTTAAGTTGCATTTTTCGTGGTTATTTATTTCGCAATTGATAAATTGATTAATTGGCAGTTTGAATGAGGTGCAGTTGTTCAATGATGGCTTTAATGATTGTTTTGGCAACTTGATTTCTTACCCGAGACTCCAGCAATTTTGACATGTTTTTATAGATTAAAACCCAGCATTAACGATCCATGGCATTGGTTCTTTACATCTCGTACTAAATCGAGACAATAGATTATTAATGATCACAAAATAGGATGTTTTCGTACTATTTATGCCGAAAAATGCGCATCGGGTGATCACTTACCTATAAAATCGTGCGTGTATATCGCCGATAATTGACAATTTCCCATGTATCACTCGATATTTTTGTTTGTTACTTAATTTAGATGCAATATGATCCTATTTCGGAATAAATGGCACCTCGACTCTGCATCTCGAATAACGTCACGGGAAAGGATAACGTGCAACGTCATATGTAAAAAATCTGATAATCCTGATCGCGGTTTATAAATGCAGTTAAAATGTCTTACTACAAACGAACTTATGCCAGAAGTGTTGGATGATGCATTTCCAAATATACGTATAGTTCAGTATAATCGAACACTCCTACTATACTTCCCTTACTTTTATTTTCGACCACCACGAAGTTATTCCCTGGATTATACGTGTGCTCATATTTATTCTGGTTTAATAATTGCATATACTGGGATGGACTGTCAGTGAACTTACCCATAGTTTTACGCATATTATTTCGAGACTTAGCCATATTACCTATATACACACATTTATTTGATTCAAATTTGGGTCGTATCATGGAACATATGAATCGTTTTTTCCAGATTCCGGGTTGCCCTTTTAATTTCTCTACTGAGATCGTCATCTAATCTTCTGGGTGGCGCAGGGGGTATATTACGAAATATTTTTTGATCATATTCGTAATCTCCTCCTGAGTTAGACCAGGTTTAGACCTAGATGTGGGAGAATTACTTGAATTGGAAGTATCTGAAGAATCCGACTTTACCCATGGTAGCTTTGCTTTATTTATACAACTTAGTTCATACTCAATAATACGAAGTTTTTCAAAAACTCCATGCTCTATATCATTTTCTATAGAATGAACCGACTTCCAAATATTATTGAGGTGTGTTTTGATTGAAAGTTTTCCACATCCATCGCCTAAATCTATCATGGGATATTTCTTAATCTTGCTAACTCTTCTATGTGCTGGGGATACAAGAGGTATATTATCATGATGCCTCTTTTGTTGCTTATTATCTTCGCTTCTGAGAGATAAAATCTTAATCATATTCGTGATCTCCTCTATTGATAAATCAGACTCAAGTGAGCTATTTTTACTAGAGCTGGCTTTGTTAAAATCTTCATCGATTAACGGGATGCTCATACCATCTATTACAATTTTAGCATTCGGATTAAAACGCATCTTTACTTCGTGCGCCCATAACCAACCCTGACCCAATACCAGATCGAATGTTGGATTCTTGCGAATCTCAAAGTTTATTACATCAGTGTTATCCAAGCTATGGTATGTTCCTTTATATTGGAATTGTAAATCTAAGCAATTTATTTCACCTATTGCATCTTTATAGAGGTTTTCAACCAGATCACAAGTTGGTCTTATTCCATGATCCGTTCCAAGCCTATTGAACAAGCTTTTACTAATAGTATTAAACTTCAACGATGTATCTATTAATGCTTTTACTGAGATTTTTCCCTCTACAAGTGATTCTATGAAAACCATGTCAAATATTATTTAATGATGTATATTACTACGAAAAAAATAATTATCATTTATTCTGAATTTTATCATGTATTAATAAATAATAGAAAAGCTAGTATCAAGATACATATTATGACATCGACAACAACTAAACCTATTATCGATTCAAGTGCTAACTGGTCGACTATAACCGAAGAATTTGCTAAAAAAATGGGAGTGGAAATTATTGGAAATAGCCACAAATCTCATAATACCAATAGAGTGATATCTGGTATTGTTAAACAAGTATCGGGTAAAAAAATTCAGATTTCTATCTGCCAATTAACTGAAGATAGTGAAACCTGAGATCCAGCAAGAAATTATAAAATAGATAGCAAACCCGGATATTCCTCGAAGAAATCATACACCATCTGAATCATCTAATGATGTGGATGAAATCACAAAAGGTATGGCTGGGTTGTCAATAAATGACTCATCGTCTAGTAGCAACAGTTAATTCACGAGATAAAATTCTCATTGTTTTATTATGATAATATATTTAATTATATTTTTTCTGTGTATTAATAATAAATCAATTAAAATCCAATGGTTAATAATAGCTGTGAAACAGTTGTCTCTGGCAATAATACCTCAAAATTAGTATCTAAAATTGTTAAACAGATATCACATAGAAGAATTTCGATTTCTATTTGTCAATTAATGAAAATAGTAAAACCTGAGATTCAGCAAGATATTATAAACTCAATAGCAAACCCGGATATTTCTTGAAGAAATCGTACACCATATAAGGCTAAAAGAAAAAAGTTAATTTTCAACGATACAGCATCTGAGTCCTCATCTGGGTCCGGGTCTGACTCTGAATCATCTAATGATGATAAAGATTTTACTGTGGATATGGTAAAAGTGAAGAAGCGTAATTAGTTCTCATCATCAGAAATTTCTCCATACAAATCGATGATATCCTTGACTTCACTATTTTCTTGTTTAGGTGCTGGAGTATTCGGTCTGTCATTCATTACACCATAATGTTCAACTGATGAAGCATGACCTATCTTATGCCTACATGCCAATTGTCGTAAATATTGACGGTGAGAATCATTCCTACCTCCATGTATTCTGGAAGCATGGTCAGCTCCTATTTTTCTTAATATAAATGAGGTAATTTTATGCTGACTTAAGAATTGATTAAGTGGTACAACATTAGTATTTCCATCCTTATCCTTTAGCAAGAAGGGAAATTTGTCCAGTATTGATCTCTGAATCCAGATAAGTAATTCTCTTGCTCGTATTGGATTTTTTTCCATTGAGAGAAATGGTCAGGGTTCTTCTACTTCACCTTTATTTTTTTGCATAACCAATACAGTACCAAGAATAGTCAGGATTATACCATGTCTCACGACTTGGTCTGTATCGATTGATACGAAGGTTTTCCACATCTGCTGATCGCATACATAGCATTATCATTACGTCTATTAGATTTTGCATTGAAGGAGGCTTGGTAATATTACATTCATTAAGTCTTTCCTGAACTTTTTCCAGGTAAAAGAACTCAGGACAATCGTAACCATTAATTCCACGAAGTATATGTTTTCTTGCTTGAATCTGATTTGCTTCTTCAGTAATAAAGGGTATTTTCGTTGCCTCAGTGATAAGATAATCTCAGTAATCCCGAATTTTAACTAATTAGCTTATTAAAAATAGTGACAATTCAGAAAACCGTGATTTTTAGCAATGTTAATAACCAGTTAACAATCGGTAAACCCGAATTTTAACTAATTAGCTTATTAAAAATAGTGACAATTCAGAAAACTCTGATTTTTAGCAATGCTAATAATCGGTTGACAATCAGTAGCCTCGAATTTTAACTGATTAGCTTATTAAAAATAGTGATAATTCAGAAACCCTGATTTTTATCAATTCTAAAAATTGTAAGAATCCATAATTTATTGTTTACAATTGATCAATTTGACAAAAATCGGGAGTATTGCCAATTTTTCATTTTTTTACCAGTGTTGAATTATATCAAGCAAATCAGAATGTAAAAAAAAAATAAAAAAGAAGCTAGAAATACATTATGAATAAGTTAGATTATAAAATACATCATCAAATAATCTGGAAAATTGGAAATGCTGTTAATAAATCATTTAAGACAATAATTTAAGTTCAACAATATTATGTCCACAGAAAATTAATTGCAAGCATTGTGGAAATTCAAATATAAACTCAAAAGAATGGAGAGTTAAAGTCTGGAGTAAAGCTCCGAACGAATCAATGAAATTCGAACTGATTCAACTTAACTCAATTTGAACTAGTGATGGTGGGCGAAACTATGCTTAGCAGGCTGTAATTGCCAAAATTAATTTGCCTGAACTTTGACAAAACTAATTTTAATGGCTGAAATTGGGAGTTTTAAAATAAATAGATTGATTTAGATACTTATTATATGTATTGGACAAAATTACCTTTTAAAAAATTTATATCATTATTAATTTATTATTAAATTTATTAATAGTAAAATCAACAGAAATAAAAATCATGATGATGATGCCATTGAGAATGAAGATGAAGAATATAATAACAATAGAAGTAATTTATTTATTATTTTATTTATTTATTTATGGTGCAAACAATATTATTACTTTAAAGGAAAACATGAAATTATATATCATTAACTCAATGTTTTTTTTTGATATTGATTATTATTTTTCTTTTTAATATTAAGATGTTTTTTGAGAATTAAATAAAATAATAAATATTATTATTGTATTTGGTAATAATTTCCGTAGCCAAAAAAAACGATTTTAGTATACCTTTATCGAAATTTCCGTACAAATTCATCACGAATTCCTTATTATTATAAGTTCCTTATGTATTACGTGCATATTACGTGCATATTCAGCACATTTCAGTGCATTTGACAGGAAGATTCTGTATCTTTATTATAATGAAATTAAACTCACTTTTCTCGCATCTTTTCCGCATATTTTCTGTGTGCAATTTTTTTTAGGGTTGCTAAATGAAACAATACTAGAATATTAAATTCATATACCTCAAGGAAACAGTTACTAGAAATAGAAGCTTTTGGTCGTTTTTTTAACAACTTTGTTGGTTGGTAATCAAAGCACTCTTTTGAAAAAAAAGTTTTTTAATATGTGCAAATATAATTAATTGAAATATAATTTGATTATTAATAATAACCTTATTAAAGGAAAAAAAATTTTTTTTAAGCAATCACACAAATAATAATTATTACTACTATAACTAACATATATATGTATCTTTTTCTACCCTAAAGAAAAAAAATTTTTCTTATTCATTTTATGAGATAAAAATATTGTTATTATAAACATTTCCCCATCCTTGTCAGCTCGGCAAATAATTTTGGTGATTCGTGATTTAAACAAATGAGTTGTTGATACCACCACTCAATCTCTTTTTTTTTGTTAATCACCAAACGATTAATTTCTTTAGGATTGTTACCGTAAAGTCTGGAAAGATAGCATCCCCAAAAGATAGCACCCCTACTTTAAAACAATTGAGCGTCAATATAAAAAAATTGTTACACATATGTAAAAAGGGGATGCTATCTTTCCAGACTTTACGGTATTTTTATTGTCAATTGTTATTCCGATAATTTTTTTATCTTTTCATACGAATTCAATCCATCCATTTGTTATATTCATTATTACATTAATATAAAATTTTATTTCTTCTATTTTAAAAAATTAATTAGTGAATAATTAAACTGCTTTTTATTAAAAAAAATCAAAACATGAAACTATACAAACCCGTAACATCAAATATTTGACCATTGTATCTGGTAAATACATAATAAAAATTGGTTAAAGCTTAATATGTGTATGAAGATTCTTTGTGGCCATTAATGTTAAAAAAGGATACGAAAATAATAAATTAATCAGATTATCAATTATATAATTAATTACTTTTAATTTATTTTCGAATATTTTTGTCAGTCTAAAAAGTATATTATTAATATACAAAGAAATAAATTGCTATATAAATCAGCTAACTCAAAACAATATTTTTAATGTACTCACTTTTCTTTCTCATCCGAAAAGGTTATACTAATATTAATAAAAAACGAAGTTAGAATGACGGGGTGACGACAAGTGGCGATAACCACCATCCTTAAAACACTTACCCATGATCTTTTTCCAAATGATTTTTTTGTTTTCTTTTTCTCGTGCTTTTTTGTTGCGACATTTTGTTTATTTTTTTTAAAAAAACTAGAGTAACGACGAGTGGCGGGCGATAACCACCACCACCATCCTTAAAACGCTTACTCATCATTCCTCGTATTATTTTCTCTGCTTCTTAAATTTTTATAATTGGACATTTTTTTTTTAAAAAATTAAATAAAAGAAGTTTGTTGTTTAATTGACGCGTACACATTAATTATTTATCCTATTGGTTTTATTTTTTTGGTAGGACAGACGTGATGATTTTTTTTTTTTCTTGGAGACAATTTATTTATTTTTTGACAGAGTCCAAGGTGACAAAACGTGAACATTGTTGTTTGTTTGGTTTGGGTCTCCTAAAGAAACGTTTTAATAACTAACCAGAGGTACTTTTTTTTTATTTGTATTGATTGATATTTTTATTTTAGCTTATAAATATTTTAATT